GTTTCCCCTAAAATCTGCTGTTGCCAGGGTGACTGGGCTCTCAGGTTCCCCTGGCACTGTGCTGTCCAGCTCCTCTAGAACCCGGGCCCTGCGTCCTCAAGGGCAGGCTACGGGCCAGGGCAGAGGGAGAGAGCAAGTCAGCTCTCACTCTCCGGGTGCAGCCCCGGCTCAGCACCATTTAAATGGAAGTGAATTTTCTTTTCCATCTTCTCACCTCCTTTGCAGCATCCAGGTCCCAGTACCCAGATCCCCCCAGATCACAGCACCCTCCCCAATCTGCCTTATCTGCTCTGGGCGGCTCTTCTGCTGAGGAACTCTGTGACCCTAAGTGACTTACTTCTTTCCACTTCCTGAGCAGACTTCCATTTCCTCAGAGCAGCTGATATCAGCTAAGGGCTGGAGGAAAAATCAACTGAGCAGACACAAATTCATACTAGCAGGTAAATGACTGAAACCCTCAATGTATTCTCACATTAAAATGGATTGGTTGGGACACTTGAGAATCATCACAGGGAGTAAGTTAGAGAGGGTGAAAAACAAGGGAGTTAAAGATTTAGAAACTGTACACTTATTAGTGGGACGCTCACCCTGTTTCCAGAACACTGGCAGTCAGGAAACAATCCCCTCCCCCTTTTGTTATTTTTTTTTAATGGTAGGGTCACAGGTTCAGACACTAGGGAATCTCCCCTCAGTGAACCAGCTGGTCATCTGCCAAATCACCCTTGAGAACCCCCAGTGGATAAGCTGCTTTCATGTACACAAAACCATCAACCAGCTTTGTGTGCCTCATGATGAAAGCTTAACAGATAGCCAAAGATCATCAGATGTTTGTAGAAAGTTCTAACATGAAAGAAAAAGACAAAAACAGAGGAAACTGCAGAAGTAAACTTCAGAAGTAGCATAGTTCATATCCAAAGAGAGACAAGAGAAGACATTTTACCCATTAAATGAGAAAAGGTGCAAAATAGTAAGAACAAGAAAGAATGCTTGGCTATTAAATAATACAATGTTTGGGAAAAAATACCCAAAAGACAGAGAGATGAAAGCTGATGAAGACTTCAGAAAATATCACAAAAAATAGATGGAAAAATCTTGAAGAAAAGATATGAGAGGATCCATCTTGAAAATCCCACATCCAGCAAATATGGAGAGAAGGAAATTTCTTCCAATGAAAATGAAAAGAGACTCAAGATTGAAGAGCCCACTGAGCAAGAAAATGTAACGGGGGAAACAAAGGCTCAGATCAGGTCATATCTTTAAAAAACTTATAGGGGTGCTTGGCTGGGTCTGTCAGAAAAGTGTTCCACTCTGGGTCATGAGTTTGAGCCCCACACTGGGTGTAGAGATTACTTAAATAAATATTTTTTAAAACCTATAAACAATATACTTTAAAAACATAGAGTTTTTCAGGATTGTAAGGATAAAGGGAGGATTCTAAGATCTTCCTTTAAAAAAAAAAGGCAGGTAACATACAAAGGATTAGGAATCAAAATGGTTTTATTATTACAAGTCAGAAAAAAAATGAAACAAACCCTTCCAATGCTGAGGCAGGATGATTTTCAACCTAAAATTCCATACCAGTCCAGGAATCCAGGAAAACTCTCAGTCAAGTATGAGGGTAGAGTAAAAACATTTTTACATATGCAAGATTTCAAAATACTTATTTCTATGTATATATATATATATATATATATATTTTTTTTTTTTTACAAAAGGATCTAAAGCATGTGCTACTACAATCAAAGGAGTAAACCAAGGAAGAGGAAGGTAAGAATTCAAGAGACAGGACCTAACAGAGCAGAGTACAGCCGCCGTCCCAGGGAGACCACAGCAGGCCCAGAGAGGACCCGTTCAGGTGGGAACAGGGGATAGAGAGTCGCAGGATGAAGGATCTCAGAAATAACAACAACAGCAACTGATGTGCTGAGGCTATGTAGAAAATATTGACAAGTGTAACAGTGATGATAAAGCATTTTTTTTAACAATAAAGAATTAAAGGAGACCTAAGAACCTTGATAAATGAATCTTTTATAATTAAAAAAAATCAATCAACAGAAATGAAATGATGATTAACTCCAGGTGAAATAAAGAGAAAAGTTATGTATACATACACTTTATATGTTACGTATAATTACATACATATATATAACATATATATCTTTTCATTCTAAAAATAAAGCTTAACACACATGGGGCACTAAATTTTTTAAACAAGAAGTATTACTTTGAGATTGTACAGAAATGTGGTATCTTTCTAAAGTTTGGGAGCAACCAGAAAGTTTTTTTTTTTAATCCAGAAAGTGAATTTAAGTAGTTCAAATGGAAAAAAAAAAAAAAAACCAACAAAACCCTGTTGATGAATACATGAGTTGAATGAAAAGCCAATAGATAATTTTATGTTCCGGATACCTTGAATGAAAGTCTTTAAGCATCTCACAGTTTAGAAAGGGAGACACTGAAGAAATGTTACGATCATCGTGATAAGGACGATGACAGTGGTATGCACAAGGCAGTGAGCACTGCAGAGGATGGGGTTTTGTGTTGCAGGAGGTGGGGTGAGGGAGGGCTCTAGGAACGGGTGAACACTGAGCTCAACGAAGCCCCTCAGGATGTCAGAAGGCCACTAGATCAAAAGGTAAAATGTTCAAAGTAACTCATTTGATCCCCCAAACTAGGGAAGGTCTGTACTAGTATGATCTCTGTTGTACAAACCAGGGAAGAGATGCATAAGGTCAAAAAATGGATGCTGGGGGATCCCTGGGTGGCGCAGCGGTTTGGCGCCTGCCTTTGGCCCAGGGCGCGATCCTGGAGACCCGGGATCGAGTCCCACGTCGGGCTCCCGGTGCATGGAGCCTGCTTCTCCCTCTGCCTGTGTCTCTGCCTCTCTCTCTCTCTCTCTCTCTCTCTCTATCATAAATAAATAAAAATTCTAAAAAAAAAAAATGGATGCTGGCCACATGCTAATGAACAGAGGTGGTTCCCGGATTCAAACCCAGACCAAACCAGATCTTAGCTCCTGTGCTACCCTGACTCTTGGGATGTCTGGAGATTGACACTCAGTCAAAAGGCACAAATACCAAGAAAGCCAAGAAGTATCTCAGATACAGTGAGAGTGGTTGATGTTCTCAGTTTAAAACTTTGGGACCAGGCGGGATATGAACGCGTGTTACTGAAGAATGGGTTTGGGTAAGGGCGGACATCGGCACCGAGGTCAAAGAATGATGTGGGACATTTTAAGGTCCAGGGGGAGTAAACAAATGAGAGACCGAGGTGATCACTGGAGCTGAAAAGGCCAAATATTTATGAAGTTACAGTCCCCTAAGGAGAGATGACAAGGGATTAAAGGTGAAGATAACCTTCAGACAGGGCTGAAGTCATCCAGAAAAACGCATGTGTCCTTCCTGGAGCGCGGGAAGGACGATTAGGATGAAGAAAAACCAGCCGGGGATCCCCGGGTGGCTCAGTGGTTAGGCGCCTGCCTTCGGCCCAGGGCGTGACCCTGGAGACCCGGGATCGAGTCCCGCGTCGGGCTCCCTGCGTGGGGCCTGCTTCTCCCTCTCCCTGTGTCTCTGCCTCTCTCTCTCTCTCTGTGTCTCAGGAAGAAATGAATAAATTCTTTAAAAAAGAAAGGAAAAAGAAACCCCAGCCTATGGTAACATGGCCTGAACTTCAAAAGAATAGAAGTTGCTTGGTCGTCGTGAGCCAATGGCTTTTACGCACGGGGCTCCACAGGCGTGTGTTTGAGTGAAGGCTGGGAGGGAGGAAGCGATGACCAGGGAGGAAAGCTGAGCGTCCCTTCAGGTGAGGTCCCGGGGAGAGAACTGTGGGAAAAGGTGGAGGTGAGAGGAGGCAGGCTGACAACGGACCTGGGCCTGGGTTCCTCGGGGCGGGGGGGCGGGGGGTCCCTTTGTAGGTAGCTGCTGGGGCAGATGGAGAACAGGGGGTGAGCCTGGGTGAGCATGCGCCGAGCGCGGTGGGTGGGCTTCGGGGCGGCCTGGGGGGCGACCAGCCGCACACCTGCCGGACCAGCCGCACACCTGCGCGGGGCACGAAGGGGCTGTGGAGGGCGCGAGCAGGGGTCAGGGCCGGCTCCTTCCACGAGGCCCAGCGGTTACCCGGCCGTCCCACGGCCACGCAGGGGCTCGGTCCTCTGCGGCACCGGCGCCTCGGCCTTATCAGCACGAGCGAGGCAGCCGGGGACGCACCCCCGGCGGGGAGCGACCCTGCAGCGCCCCCGCGCTCCCCCGCCCCGCGCCCCCGCTTGCGGCCGCGCCCAGGCCGCTGCAGGCGCGGAGGGGAAAGCCCGGCGAGGACGGCAGGCGGGGCGCGCGCCCAGGCCGTGCGTCACCCCGCGGCCGCCGCTGACTTATTCTGGACGCGGCCGCTCGCGTGAGTCACGCCCAGGGCGCCCCGCAGGCCGGCGGGCCCCTGCGCACACCTGCGCGAGCAGGCAAACCCGACGGAGAGCCGCGGCCGCGAGACCCGGCCTCCCGCTGCGCGCCCCGCCCCTGCGGCTGCCCCGGGACCCGGCGCGGGAGCAGCGCGCCCCGCGGGGACCGACTCGGACGAACCGCGGACCCGCCCGCGGACACCCGGACGGCGCCCGCCGCACTCGGCAGCGGGGCGCGAGGGGGCGCGGCGCGTGACGTGGGGGCGTGGCGCGCGGCGAGGGGCGTGGCGCGCGGCGAGGGGGCGTGGCGCGCGGCGAGGGGCGTGGCGTGCGGCCAGGGGGCGTGGCACGGGCGCTGTGCGCGCGCGACGGAGCGGTGCGTGGCGCGATGGGGCGTGGCGTTGCGGGTTGCGGGGCGCGGTACGGCGCAGGGGCGGCTGCGGGGGCCGGCGGCGTCCTGGCCTGGGGGGGTGAGGACCGTGCGGGTGGAGCCGCCCGCCGTGGGGGCTTGGTCGTGGGAGGAGGGGGACGGTCGCGGTCGGCGGGGGAGGGACGATGTGGGCGGGGCGGCGGCGGCGGAAGCAGGGGAGGACGGCGGGGGCGGGGCGGGGGCGTCTCCGGGGAGTCAGGCCCTCCGAGGAGGCTTCCTCTGGGCGGAAGGACCAAGGAGACTCCCCGGGGGATCCCCCCTCTTCACCCCGACCGGGCACCGGCTCGCGGTTGCACGGGCCCCGGCCCAAGGTGCGGTTGCTATAGCAACCAGCGGGGGTGACCGAGTGGTCCAGGTGGGCCCAGGATGTGCTGGTTTTAGCGCCTACAGCACTGCAGACCCCCCCCAGCGCATTTACACGATCCTGTTGTGCCCCCCGCGGTTCCGCGCAGGGGCCTGGGGCCCGGCAGAAGGCCGACCTTTCACATTAACACTGCCTTTCTAATGACTGTAGGGTGAAGGCGCCCGGCACAGCCCCTTCCCGGCCAGGCCCAGGCATGCCCGTCCCTGCAAGGCAGACACCTTGATGGGACCCTACCTCCCTACAGGTAGGTATAGCACGCGGGAGGGCACGTTTAGCTGGGGATTTTGTCCTGTGGGAGAAGTGAACTTTCGGCCCAGGTGTGGAGCAGTGAGGACGATCCTATGCACGTGTCAGAGCTTTGACCATAGTGACCTCCGTCTGGGAATTCCGTGCATGCTCCGGGACCCCTAAGGTTCTGATGTCCAGCCAGAACAGATGTTAGCTTAAAGTTTCCCATCAATTCTCAAACATTAAACAGGGAAGGGGGGAGGGGGAATCTGGATGAGTAGGAAATAGGATAGGCTCCAGACAGTGAAGTCCAAATTTTATTTTATTTTATTATTATTTTTTCCTTTTCTAAATCAAAAAGCCTCGCGGTGGAACAGCTGTTTGACGCATTCAGAAGAAAGGATGACAGCCCTACAGAGGAACACGATGTGAATGGAAGAGACCTGTCATTGTGAGTCTGGCTTTTGATTAGTCACCTGATGTCTTCCCCTCCGGGTGACATGGCTTTGAGGCAATGCACTTCAGTGGCTGAGGTCTGTTACCAGCCTGCAGTTAAATTACAGAAATGGCAGGACTTACATCAGTTCTCTTTTTGGGTTGTCTGGAACATCTTTGAGTCACCTTGGAAAAGATGAGTATTTTTCATGTGGCCCTAATGACTCCATTCGTAATACTGTTACCCTAAGGACAGAAAAAAAAATAGGAAATCAGGTCATCCTCTTTCGGTTTTTATTTTTATTTTTTAATTTTTTTTTTTTTTTTTTTTTTTAATGATAGTCACAGAGGGAGAAAGAGAGAGAGGCAGAGGGAGAAGCAGGCTCCATGCACTGGGAGCCCGACGTGGGATTCGATCCCGGGTCTCCAGGATCGCGCCCTGGGCCAAAGGCAGGCGCCAAACCGCTGCGCCACCCAGGGATCCCTCTCTTTCGGTTTTTATAATGGGAGCAGGTTCCATAAGGAGAGGAGGAATGAATTTCATGATTTTTCTTTTCACTTTTTCAGATACCCTTCCCAAGAAATTGATTGGAAATGGCAAAGGAACACAGTTGTTTGGTGTTAAAAAAAAAAAAAAAAGGCAGTTTTTTCATTTTAGGAAGAAATGAGAGATGTATGTGGAGGATAGGTAGATGAAAGTGACTGGAATGGATTTACATGGTTTATTTGATTACTTGTGTTTCCTGGTAGATGCAAACAGTACGGCACTCTGAACAGACTCTAAAAACAGCTCTCATCTCAAAGAACCCAACGCTTGTGTCACAGTATGAGAAGTTAGATGCTGGCGAACGGCGTTTGCTGAACAAAGCCTTCAAGGCAGACAGTGATCTCTTTGGACCCATTACCTTGCATTCGGAATCAGATTGGATCATCTCCCATCCTGAGGCTCCCCAAGACTTCGAACAGTTTTTCAGTGATCCTTATAGAAAGGCACCATCTCCGGAGAAACGCAGTATTTATATACAGTGCATCGGTATATGCTGTTAACATGACGGATTTGGGTTGGTTTGCAACAGGGCTGTTGCCAGGGATAGCCTGGGCTGCTGATCTCATGCAAGTGGGTAGTTTTTATGATCATTTTTTTGACATTCGTTACCATGGTGGAAGTTATGTACCTAAATAGCCCTAAAACAGGACATTTTGTGTCTTTGTAATTCATATACAGATCAATGAGTGATAAAGGTTTATTGAAAATTTAGCGGTAGTTTGCTTCTCATTTCAGATTTCTAATTATAGACTGAGATGAAGACTGAATGTTTAATCACCTTAAAGTCTGTCTTTACATTTTTTTCCATCTTACAGGATCTCTAGGAAACACCAGGATTATCAGTGACGGATATATTAAATGGCTCAAGGGCTACTGTGAAGCATTTTTCTATGGCTTGACAGTAAAACTCCTAGAACCGGTTCCTGTCTCTGTAACGAGGTGTTCCTTTAGAGTCAATGATAACACACAAAACCTACAAATTCACGCAGGTGAATTAAACAACTTTACAATTTGAATTGAGTAAAGGAGATATTAGATCGATACATGTATGGAGATATCATGTCTCATGTATACATTTTTTTTCAAATAGGAGACATCCTGAGGTTCCTAAAAAAGAAGAAACCTGGAGATGCCTTCTGTATTGTGGGAATAACCATGATTGATCTTTACCCAAGAGACTCCTGGAATTTTGTCTTTGGACAGGCCTCTTTGACAGATGGTATTCCTTTTTGACATTGTTGGTAGAAATTTCCTCAACCTGAGAATATTTGAAAATGTTGATAAAGGGAAGAAATTCCAACCAATTATAATTTTGATACTTAAGACTATAATAATTCTGGTGCATCATGCTGTGCTCAGGAAGTGTGCTGTGGATGGATTCTGATATTCTGGCTTCATCCCTATGATCTTGAGGCCAATGATACCTATGTCAGAGAGTTCTTTTGAGATAGTTTACCTAACAGTAAACTGGTACTTAAAAAGGGTGTGTTTATGGGTGGCATATATATAGGCATTCAGCACAACAGATGGTAAATATCAGTAATTCACTAGCAAGGTGAATTAAAGATATTAAGGATGCTTGAAATATCATTAACATAGGGGCACCCTGGGTGACTCAGTCGGTTAAGTGTGTGACTCTTGGTTTCAGCTCAGGTCATGATCTTAGGGGCATGAGATCAAGTCCCATCGCACTCGGAGAGAATCTGCGGGAGATTCTTTCCCTCCTCTGGTCCCTCTGCCCCTCCCCCGACCTGTGCACTGTCTGTCTCTCTCTCCCTCCCCCCGAATAAATAATCTAAAAAAATCCCCTATCATCAACGTAAGTGAAAATCTTGTAATTGGTTTTCAGTTCTTTTTGTAGTTTTCTAGTATAGATAAACCATAGACTGATTTACAAGTGTGCAAGCTTCTTATTCTGTGTCTCGTGACATTTTGTTATTTTACTTGAAAAAAATGTCAACTTCAGTTTTCGACTTAGATACAGTAAACTTGGCTCATTAAGAATTCTATATGGTTGGGATCCCTGGGTGGCGCAGCGGTTTGGCGCCTGCCTTTGGCCCAGGGCGCGATCCTGAAGACCCGGGATCGAATCCCACGTCGGGCTCCCGGTGCATGGAGCCTGCTTCTCCCTCTGCCTGTCTCTCCGCCTCTCTCTCTCTCTGTGTGACTATCATAAATAAATAAAAATTAAAAAAAAAAAAAGAATTCTATATGGTGATACTGAGGGTGGGAAAGGACCTGGAAGCAAATACTATTTTTGCCTAATTGTTTTTTCTTTTTTTCTTTCTTTCCACTTCTTTTCTTCCCATCCTTCCATGTTTGCTATAATTTCTCTACCCTCATTCCTTAAGATCTGACAGGTTTGAAAGGGAAAGTCCAATGCAGTAAGGGGAGTGTCATCCATTAGCATTCTAGGGGGAGTAGGTACCCAGGATGGTATTTTCGGGGTACCAGTTCATGGACTGTCCAGGTGCTACATTGGCCTCGGGGTTGTTGGAGGTGGGCACCTTCTTTAACAAATGTTTCTTTCTACTAGATATCTCCCTTTGTGACACATTCACTAGAGGTGGGAGCCCAGGGCACCACAGAGCCTCTTCTTCCCCCTACTCTTTCATTGGTGACTTCCTTTACATTCCTAGAGTGTCCCCCCCACCACCACCCTCCACCCCACCATCAACACACTCTTGGATACTCTGGCCACTGCTGTCTTTCTGATTTTTGTAAGAGCCATCTTTCTTTCAGAAATAAAATTTTTAATAATTTTTTTTAAAGATTTTATTTATTTATTCATGAGAGATAGGCAGAGACACAGGCAGAGAGAGAAGCAGGCGCCATGCAGGGAGCCCAATGTGGGACTCGATCCTGGAGCTCAACTGCTGAGCCACCCAGGCATCCCCAGAAATAAAATTTTTAAAATAAAGATTGTATTAGAGAGAGGGAGAATACCAGCTGGGGGGCGGGGCAGAGGCAGAGGGAGAAGCAGACTCCTTGCTGAGCAGGGAACCTGACATGGGGTTCGATCCCAGGACCCTGGGATCATGACTTGAGCCCAAGGCAGATGCCTAACTGAGCCACCCAGGTGCCCCTATCAGAAGTAAACTTTTATGAGCTAAATTTTTATCTCCCCTTTCATAATTAATCTGACAGTGATGAAACATTAAAGATATATTAAAACAATTTCTCTAGACATTGCTAGCTAATTTATCTTTTTCCTGGTTGAGGAGGTCAGGAGACATTCCCCTAAAATGTTTCTATTGTAAACACCTCCACCCTTTTTAAAAGTAAGTTTCTTAAATATTGCATGGCCTAAGAGAAGGCGTAGGCTAGCAGCACTGAAGTGCCATGTAATGAGACAGTATCTTACTACACGTGACTGCACTCTCCAAGGGTACAAAAGTGAAGATTTTAAAATAGAGAAACAGTTAATTACTAAAGAAAATAAGCTTCCATTCATAGGATTATTAGAAGGAAAAAATATTCTTGCTAAAGGTATTGGAGGGATGTATGCCCACATTTGTTTGGCCAGAGCACAGACGAGGTCAGCTGTGACATGAGCAGATTTTGTTTTTTCTTAACTTTCAGAGTGCTCTCTCTCACCCTAAATATCAAATACCAGGCAACACTTCCAAGGGTGGGGTGAGGAGTGTTCTCTGTGGGTCAAGGTGGATCCAACAGACTTACTATGAATTCATTTCTTTAACCCCCCCCCCGCAAAAAAATGCCGTATTACTTTCAAATAACAACTGGAAGAGACATAAATAACAGTGATAATGTAAGCAAGTCACATTCTAGAGCCATGCCCTTTAGAATGCGTTGTGCAGGAAACCCTGTGCTCCATGTATGCAGGGATGGTTGAAACAAGCGTCAGTATAACAGGAAGTCAGTTAAAAGGGTGTTTATTCTGGTCATCCGACGGCAGCCACACAGCAGAGTCGTGCTCCGAGTGAGGAGTGGGGGAGGGAAGAGGTTGTCTGAAGGCATGGTCTCCCAGCATCAGGGCAGTGGCACCTCGGTTTCCCTCAGCATGGCACCAGGAAGGTGCAGGAACCCTCAGCATAGGACCTGGAGCTCTGTTTATTGTGTTCTGAAAGAGTAAAGTCATGGGTGCGTGGTATGTGTGTCACCACTTCTCCTTGCTCCTCTTAGAGTACTTGATTTGGACTCGGCTTTGAGAAAAAGAGGGGGTAAAAACAATTCTGGAACTTTGAGTTTCTCAATAATTTGATCTCAAGACCATTGGGTTTTACAGGGCAGAGGAGGTAGGATGGCAGAAGAAGATGTGGAGAGGGAAATCTGAGGGCAAAAGCCCTTCTCTGTCGGGGCAAACCTGAAGCGTATTGGACCGTGCGAACGCACTAGCACAGATTTGCACCCAATGACTGGACGCCCAAGCGGGCGCTCTTTCTTGGTCTTTCATTCAGAAATCTTACTCCCCTTCTGTTGTTGCTTGTTCTTCCTTTTATAGGTGTGGGGATATTCAGCTTTGCCAGGTACGGCAGTGATTTTTATAGCTCACGCTTTGAAGGCAAAGTGAACAAGCTGCGGAGAGTATCTTCAAGCGACTATTCCGTTTTTGATAGCTATTATACCCCTGAAGTGACCAGTGTTTTGCTGCTTCGTTCCTGTAAGGTGAGTCATTTAAAAAAAAAAAAAAGAAAAGAAAACCCACCAGAGTATTTTTTAAAGAGCTCTTAATTCCTGCATTGCGTTATCAGCAGTCGTTAAGGTAATATTATACATGAGGTTGTATCATCTATAGGCGTTTGGTGCCTATTGTTTGAAGTTATCAATAAAAATTTAAATGGATGCCTTAATATTGGAATTCTGTCTGGCTAGTTACATGCAGCCTTGGCTGTACCCACATCCTCGCCACTAGTCTAATTCCAGAAGTCTGGTATGGGTAAGGTAACGGACTCTTCGGAGCTGTGGTGGTCATCTAATAAAGCTCCCCTTGGAGGGCCTCTGCTCTCAGGCAGAGGTCTTGAGAATGGCTTCCTCTTGGGCTCCAGGCTACCTTCTACTGTGGTTAGTTCTAGTCAATCTCCCCAGCCCTTGCTATTTGGAAAGCCCATCTCCTGATGCTCCCCTCCCTGCCTCAGTAGCCAGAGACACAGGCTTTTCCCGCAGCTAGGAAGTTCTGTTTTCATAAGTACCCCTGCTTGGGGTTTGAGAGCTACAGTGTGTTCAGAGCGCGTACCCTGCATCAGTATCACTTGGTGTGTTCGTTAACATGCGAAGAGCCCCCTCCCTTCTAGACCTACTGATTCATCAGCATCTCTGGGGGAAAGTTCCAGAATCTGAATTGTAACAAGTGCCCCACTGGCCTGGAGCAACAGCTGTCAACCAGGGGTGATTTTTGCCACCCAGGGACTTCTGGCAATATCTTGAGATATTTCTGGTTGTTGCAGTTGGGGCCGGGGTGTTGCTGGTGTCTAGTGGATAGAGCCTGGGGATGGTGCTGAGCATCTACACTGCACAGGACAGTTGTCCACTCCTCCCCACCCCCCACTGGCCCACAAAGAATGATCACACCCCACATGTCAGGTGTATCAAGGCTGAGAAACCCTGCTCCAGGAGAAGTAATCAAGTATAGGAAGGAAAGCAGTAAGACATTTAGGGAAATGAAGGATTAAGTCTTGGGCAGGTTGAAGTTTTGGTGATGAATGTAAATTCGTTTCTTGAAAAGCAAGAAAAAGGAGGAAGGTCTAACCCTTTGATGATGGTGGCGCTATAAAGCCTTGATGTGAATGTCTTGCAGACTTTAACCCATGAGATTGGACACATATTTGGACTTCGACACTGCCAGTGGCTTGCATGCCTCATGCAAGGCTCCAACCACCTGGAAGAAGCTGACCGGCGCCCCCTCAACCTTTGCCCTATCTGTTTACGCAAGTTGCAGTGTGCTATTGGCTTCAACATAATAGAAAGATACCAAGTAAACGAGGGGAAGAAAAAGAGGGGGAAGTGGTTATATAAGTAGCAAACTACCATTTTCTATCAGGCCCTTCTCTGGAGCTATAATTTATCGGAGGAAATTAGTGCAAAGATAAGCAGGAAGCTGTGGTTAAAAAAAAAAAAAAACACCCAAAGAAATCTCAAACTGCCCTGCCTCTGAGTGCCTTACACTTGTAGTTCAATGAGAAACAGTGGAAGATGTTTCTGTGTTCCCCCTTCGCTGGGGGAGAGAGAACATGACTTGGGAGAACAGGCTAATGTTTTTTTAAATTTTTATTTATTTATTCATGAGAGAGAGAGAGAGGCAGAGGCAGAGACAGGCAGAGGGAGAAGCAGTCTCCATGCAGGGAGCCCGACGTGGGACTCGATCCTGGGTCTCCAGGATCACACCCTGGGCCGAAGGCAGATGCTTAACTGCTGAGCCATTCAGGGATCCCCCAGGCTAATGTTACTTCGTGTGGCAGTTCATTTTTTTTTTTAATCCATAAGTACATGCGGAGATGCTTTATTTTTCCAAATGTGGGACAGAGGTATGCTCTTCACTCAGAGGAAGGGATGGACTACTTCGAGGAGGAAGAGGGAAAGTACCTAATCTCAGTATGTGTGTGCCTGTCTGAGTGTCCGCACACCCACAAATAGGTCCATATCCATCACGACCCTGCTCGAGGGTGTGACTACTCCTGCGGGGATCTTCACATGTACGTGTCTGTCTCCACCTGTGTGCACACTTACTTAGGGACCCACTTTCACATCAGATCCAAAGCACTTACCCAGTGCCCTGTGGAACATTCGGCATGTTGAGAAAAGCATAGTCCTCCCATCTAGAAAAACCTGAGAGGATTGGCGTGTTTCTCTTTAATCTCTTCTGTGCATACTTCTGACCATCACTTGTAATCATAGTTTGTGTAGTCTTTTTTTTTTTTTTTAATTTTTATTTAGTCATGAGAGACACAGAGAGGCTGAGACACAGGCAGAGGGAGAAGCAGGCTCCCTGCAGGGAGTCCCACGTGGGACTCGATCCTGGGTCTCCAGGATCAGGCCCTAGGCTGAAGGCGGCGCTAAACTGCTAAGCCACCCAGGCTGCCCCGTAGTCTTATTCCATATTCACAAACGTCTTTATCAAACGGAACATCTTACTGGGGTAATAGAAGTCACGGAGTTAGATAATGTGATTTAGAAGTGAACATTTTTCTCCGGCCTAAGACTATTTTGCTCTGATTTGTTAACATGCGAATCTGCTTTCTGTTTTTCAAGGCGCTGGTGAGGTGGATTGATGATGAGTCGGCGGACACCCCCGGAGTCAGCACGGAACACAGTTGTGAGGATAATGTGAATTTACCAAAACCTGTGGAAGCCTTTAAGGAATGGAAAGAGTGGATAATAAAATGCCTTGCTGTTGTCCAAAAATAAGGACCTTCACATAGTTATTGAAATAAACACTTGCACATTATGCTTTCATTTGGATGGAGTACTTCATTAGAACAAACTGTTCACTGACTCTGCCCTGTCAAGTAACAGAATGGAACTTTTTTCTTCTTTTTTAAAAGATTATTTATTTATTCATGAGAGACACACAGAGGCAGAGACACAGACGGGGAGAGGCAGGCTCCCTGCAGGGGGCCCAATGTGGGACTTGATCCCAGGACCCCAGGATCACGACCTGAGCTGAAGGCAGATGCTCAACCGCTGAGCCACCCAGGTGCCCTAGAACCTTCTTTAAAGCACCCGAACTGGGATGCCTGGGTGGCTCAGCGGTTGAGCATCTGCTTTCAGCTCTGGGCATGATCCTGGGGCTGGGGATCAAGTCCTGCATCAGGCTCCCTGTGAGGAGCCTGCTTCTCCCCCTGCCTGTCTCTCTGTCTCTCTGTGTGTCTCTCATGAATAAATAAATAAAATCTTAAAAAAAAAAAAACACCTGAACATAGAAATGCGGCTTATTTTGAGTGCTGAAAACTATAAACACTCTCTCGCCCGTCCTAGTAGCCTGGTATGTTGTAGTGAGCACACCATGTCCATTCTTCAAATATGTTTATGTCTCATAAGAGACCTAGTACTAGCGGATAAGTAACCATTATAAAGATCGCTTTATATGCCGCAAGAAAGGGTTTCCAAGAAACATAATTTCCAAGGGGTGATGTTTGGTTCATTTCTTAGAAGAGGTACTCACTCCCCCTCTAGACCCAGGCAAGTCACTTTCTCCACTTAACATCCCTCATCCATGGACTGTCCTTCCCACATGGGCTGTTTTGTCTCCTTCCATTCACTGGTTGTCCTCTTGAGCCTGAAAGAAGCAATAGCTCACTTGGGGTTTTAGCAGCTTACAAAATGTGACCTCCTCTCAAGAATATTGACACGTGAAAAGAACAGTAGGACTTTCTACAAAAGACAGTATTTGTGAAGTTTCTTGCACACAAGTCGTTAAAACAGGGCTTATGTTTGTGAGCATTGCACTTTTCCCGTTGGCTGAGAGCAGGTGTTAGGTTTATTCCTACAGTAGGATCGTCCTCACTTTGCATTTGGAACTGTTTACTTGAGTACAGGGGAGGATGTGATGGGCTTACCTGTCGCTGTGTCAGGAATACCCATGATGGCCTGTCAGGCTGTGCACATCAGCCGGACTCCCTCCGGAGGGAACAGGTTGAAAGCCGCAGACTTCACAAATCACCTCTGTGAGATCAGTACCACTCAGAAATCTAGAAACTTGATTGGACCATTTGAATGAATGCCAGGGAGCAGATTGCATTTCCCACATTCTCATCTTCACCTGGAGGATAAAACTTATGGGTAATTTAAAATTTTGAACTTTGGAACCTAAATTCTTTCCCTGTTCCTTTATTCATGCAGTGTGATTGAAAGCACCTATTATAACTGAACCCGTGGTTGCTCTTACTACGTTCACTTTCTTATTTGGTTAGACCCTGAAGGTCATTTAGAAAAATGGTGATTTGTGTTCAAGCTAATTGGAGGGTGAACATTTGGTCCTTCTAATATGAGAAAGCGAACCCAAGGGAGTGTGGACTTGTATGCATTCTGCTAGGAGTTTTGTTTCCTCCTTGAAAGAAAGGTGCTATTATTGTCCACTGTGTTCAGTTTTCTTCTGTTTTCCCACAAGGTAAGCACAGGTTTAGTCCTGTAGGTCACCGTGAGTTACACACCTACAAATTCAGATTTGGCTAGCTGTGTAAATCGGGTTGTGCTTGCTTGGGCAAGACGTAAAGTCCATTTGAACCTACTCTACACCCAAACCAGGAAAAACGTCTCTCGTTTAAAGGATCAAATCGGCCCTGTTAAAAGTCGGACAAAAGTTTTCTGTAATAGGCACTTACTCAGCAGTCATCAGTTGCGCAGAGTACCGCCCTGTATTCTAGGGTTCAATTTAGAGAATGCAATTTGCTTCCTGCAACTAACTTGTAGGTACTACAGGTAAATCTTGTTCTGAGAAACGGGTTTTCACTCAGGGGCAAACGGAAACCCACGCAGGCTTTGCTCTGCAAATGCTGCACCAACAAGGTCTTTACGGCGGAGGAGAACTGGTGGTTCTCCGCGCGGTCTGAACACCTTCTAGAAATAAGTGAATCTGAAATGCTGTTCGCCTTGGCGCCTGCGGAATTAGTAGTCTCCTTCCCGGTCAGGGCAAGGATCCGGGGTCAACGTCTTAGTCCGCAAGCCTGTAACGTGGCTGGTCCGGCTCGCCCTCCGATGCCCCCTCCCCTCCAGCGCGTGCCCGTCCCGCGCCCCGCCCCCGCCCCGCCCCCGCCGCTCGCCCGCGCCGCGCCGCGCGTCCCCGGCCCGCGCCCCCGGCCCGCCGCGTAGCCTCCCCGGCCAGGGGGCAGGAGCCGCGAGGAGCCCGGCGGCGCGGCGCGGCGGAGCCGTGAGTGCGAGCGAGCGGGAGGGGGGCGCGTGTGCGCGGCGCGGGCACGCGGCGGAGCCCCTTCCGCGGCCCCGGAGCCCGAGCTAGAGCCGCTGAGAGCTAGAGCCGCCGGGAGCCAGAGGCGCCCCGAGCTAGAGCGGCCTCGAGCTAGAGCCGCCCCGAGCTAGAGCCGCCCCGAGCTAGAGCCGCCCCGAGCTAGAGCCGCCCGGAGCTAGAGCGGCCCCGAGCTAGAGCCGCCCAGAGCTAGAGCCGCCCCGAGTTAGAGCCGCCTCGAGCTAGAGCCGCCCGGAGCTAGAGCCGCCCCGAGCTAGAGCCGCCCCGAGCTAGAGCCGCCCCGAGCTAGAGCCGCCCGGAGCTAGAGCCGCCCGGAGCTAGAGCGGCCCCGAGCTAGAGCCGCCCCAGCTAGCGCGGCCCCCCCCGCCCAGCTAGAGCCGCCCCGAGCTAGAGCCGCCTCGAGCTAGAGCCGCCGGGAGCCAGAGGCGCCCCGAGCTAGAGCGGCCTCGAGCTACAGCCGCCCCGAGCTAGAGCGGCCCCGAGCTAGAGCCGCCCCGAGCTAGAGCCGCCTCGAGCTAGAGCCGCCCCGAGCTAGAGCCGCCTCGAGCTAGAGCCGCCTCGAGCTAGAGCCGCCCGGAGCTAGAGCCGCCCCGAGCTAGAGCCGCCTCGAGCTAGAGCCGCCCCGAGCTAGAGCCGCCCCGAGCTAGAGCCGCCCCAGCTAGCGCGGCCCCCCCGCCCAGCTAGAGCCGCCCCGAGCTAGAGCCGCCTCGAGCTAGAGCCGCCCAGAGCTAGAGCCGCCCGGAGCTAGAGCGGCCCCGAGCTAGAGCGGCCCCAGCTAGCGCGCCCCCCCCCCCCCGCCCAGCTAGAGCCGCCCCGAGCTAGAGCGGCCCCGAGCTAGAGCGGCCCGGAGCTAGAGCCGCCCCAGCTGGCGCGGCCCCCCCCGCCCAGCTAGAGCCGCCTCGAGCTAGAGCCGCCCCGAGCTAAGGCCACCCCGAGCTAGAGCCGCCCCGAGCTAGAGCCGCCCCGAGCTAAGGCCACCCCGAGCTAGAGCCGCCCCGAGCTAGAGCAGCCCGGAGCTAGAGCCGCCCCGAGCTAGAGCGGCCCGGAGCTAGAGCCGCCCCGAGCTAGAGCCGCCCCGAGCTAGAGCGGCCCCGAGCTAGAGCCCCTCGGTGCACGACGGAGAGCGCGCGGGCCGAGGTGCGAGCCTCGGGGTGCAGGCGCCACGTGGGGGCACGCGAGGGCAGGCTTAGCCGCACGTTGTCCAGAGCCTTTCCGTTTCAGCCCGTAGTGCACCTGCGCTTGGAGACCGCCATGCCCCCGACGCAGGGCGGGCGACCCCCCGAAGTACGCGGAGCCCCGAGGCCGCGCCGCGGGGGCTCGCCGGGTGCTCGCCGGCTGCTCGCTCGCTGCGCACCTGCTGCTGCTCCGCGCGGGAGGACGTACCTGTGAGGCCGCGACACGGGCGTGACCGGGCCGCGCCCTCCGTAGGGAAAGGTTTTGCGGGGCGTCGGCAGTCCCGAGGGTGCTGCTCGCCCGCCGCGAGGACGTGGCCGCTCGCTCCGAGCTCAAGGCCTCCCTACGGCCTGGCCCTTGGATCTCGCCGTTACTTCCTGCGGCCCTGGCCGGCTTTTTACCGTCTCCCGTTGCCAAGGGCCTGGGCTGTCCCCTAACGGCGTCTTCATCCTTGGAATGCAGAATTTTGTAAAGTGCTGATAATGAGGATGTCGCTCAGGTCATTTCACACGTGAAGACACAGGCCCTCAGTAGCCAGGGGAGCTTGTGCGCCGCAGTGGCAAAGAGAGACCCGGCCCAACACCCACCCCCCCCTCCCCAATGACGAATTCGGCTTCGCTGCCCTGTGCTGCATGACCTCACGAGACGTAAAATACCACAGGCCAGAGACCTGATTCCCCCCCCCCCAGATTGTTTATAGTAGAGGTTATAAGATTAAACTTTCTTTCAGCCTCTTTTCTGCTCAAGTGGGGCCATCTGGTGTGGCTCAAAGTCAGAGAAATCAGTCCATGCACTCTGCCTTAGCACCAGAAAAGAGATTTAAGATCCAGAAAAGCACTTGCTACCCATGGAGGCATTAAAAAAAAAAAAAAAAAAAAAAAAAGCATCATTAAAAAAACATCTACTGGAAAATAGGTTAAGTTAAAACAAAATCTGCTCCAGCAATATGTTTAAACTGAGCCCTCCATCTGCATCCCTACCCTCGGGGTAATTTCTTCCCACTGGTTGTTGAGTCTCCGATGGATCTATGTTTTCCTCGTGACAGCCGATTGGCTCGTCCCGCCCTCCTGCCGGGCACTAGGAGACCCATTCTCAGCTGTGGGGCCAGTAGGTGGGATCGCAGTGCTTTCAGTTCTGAGGGCCACCCAGCTGCTTTGTAGCAGCACCAGACTGTCTTGAGCTGTAATTGTAAATAGATACCATTTGTTTTTCCTCTTGAAAAAGCCAGTGAGAAATGAACTTATTCATTCATTCAACAATATTTTGGGAGCATCCCCTACTATGTGCACCACTATCTGCACTATGTGCACAGGCCCTGCTCAGAGCCTCAGGAACATAGCCATGAACCAAAACGACTACCTTAATGGGCCAGTGCAAGAGACCTAATTAATGTGGGAAAACAAATTACTCCTATAACTTTTTTTCAGAGTCAAGTGTAGACACGAGGACTGTTTTGGATAGGAGAGGCACGGAAGCCTCCTCTGGAATCTTTGGAGGAGACTAGAATAAAGGGTCACATCATGTACACGTCAAAGGGAAGGGTGGACCAGGGAAAGGGAAATAGAAATGCTAAGGCTGAAGGCTTTTTCAGGGCCCAGTGAGGCCAGAGCAGCCAGGGGGGCGGGAGCAAAGAAGTTAAGAGCTGGGAGTTTAGGAAGAACCCATTGTTAGGGACTTTAGGTTTTATTATTTATTCAATTTTTTTTTTATTTGACAGAGAGAAGGAGAGAGAGAGAGCACAAGCAGTGGGGAGAGGGAAAAGCAGACTCCCTGCTGAGGAGGGCGCCCCATGCAGGGCTCAATCCCAGGACCCTGAGATCATGACCTGAGCCCAAGGCAGACGCCCAACAGACTGAGCCACCCAGGGGCCCCAGGGATTTTAGGGTTTAAATGTGATGGTGACTGATTTGTGCCCTAAAAGGATTATTGTAAGGCTTCTTTTTTTTAATTTTTTAATTTATTTATGATAGTCACACAGAGAGAGAGAGAGAGAGGCAGAGACACAGGCAGAGGGAGAAGCAGGCTCCATGCACCGAGAGCCCGACGTGGGATTCGATCCCGGGTCTCCAGGATCGCGCCCTGGGCCAAAGGCAGGCGCCAAACCGCTGCACCACCCAGGGATCCCTGTAAGGCTTCTTTATGAAAAATTAAAGCAGGGAAATTAAAGCAACGGTGGAATTGGGCAAACCAACTAGGAGATTATTGCAATAATCCAGCTAGGATGATATGGGCTTGGATCAGAGGTACCCGTAGAATTGGCAAAGGCAGGTTCTGGATATATTTAGAAAGTAAAGCCAATAGGATTTATGGAGGAGCAGGTTTGGGGAGGAGGGTCAAGAGTTCTGCTGAGGACATGCGACGTTGGAAATGCCTGGTTGGCACCAGGCGCTGTCACACGGGCGTAAGTCTGGAGCTCAGCTGCAAAGTCGGGTCTTACAACAGGAGTTGTCAGTGTAGAGAAGGTACTTAGAGTTTTGGCTGAATTCTAGGGGAGTAGGTTGCTAGGAGAGTTGGAGTGCTTCTCTTTTCTTGGGTTGCTGGAAAGATATAAATAATACAAATACGTGGCCACCCATGTGTGTTTTCTCTCCATAATATTTGCTGAGCTGTGTTTTAAGAGCCTTTATAGATAAAATGTTCTGGAACAGCACTTTTGCTGTCCGGTTTTCCCTCTAGGAAATCCGTAGTCACTGAAGTTATGTTGATTTGGATGTGAGAGTTTTTCTTCCCTGAAAAGCGAAGTAAGTAGCAGGTTCTTGAACTTGTCCTTTTTCTTCTGCTGCCGCCTTCAGGGAGTCCTTACGGGCCTCGAACACCAGGGGGCGCTAGTCTCCTTGCTTATCCAGCGGCTGGCCCACCTGTTGGCGATTGCCGCCCTCCTTTGATTAACATCTGTATCAAAGAAAAATCTGAAAACAAGTTCAGTTTCTCTTTTTTTTCAGTGCTACGCGTACCTATAGGATTGACCTTTTAGCACAAAACACGCCCGAATTGTCTTTAAATTGGTCGTTTCCAGTAAAGCTCATAACCATATAAAAGTTTAAAGGCAACAGTATCTGAACTGCCAGCAAGCCTGGTACTTGGGAGCTTTTAAAATAAGCATTGGTGATTCTTTCTTTCTTCCTTAAAAAAAAAAAGATTTTATTTATTCATGAGAGACACAGAGAGAGAGGCGGAGACACAGGCAGAAGGAGAAGCAGGCTCCCCATAGGGATCCCGATGTGGGACTCGATCCCAGGACCCCAGGATCACACTCTGAGCTGAAGGCAGATGCTCAACCACTGAGAATATTTTTGAGAAAGAGTACGAAAATCTGAATGCAATAAATACCTCTAGGTGACTTGAATGGGTAAGTGGGCCATGGGAACCCTGACATAAGATCTATTTTCTATTTTATCACCAGGTATTAAGCTGCAGGAAAGGCAAAGCCATGTACAAAAGCTACATTATGCATTATGGGAGGACAAAACCAGTAACTTTGTTAAAAGGCTTGGAAACATTATATCCATCAAGGGTGCATTTGTCTTAAAAAGAGCACATGATCATAACTCAGTTTTGCCACTGGAATAATTTTACTTTTGGGGAGGGAAGTAGTGTTCATTTAGATGAAACATTATTAAGTCAGCAAGGTTAAACCAGAATCTCTTTAATCCCAGGAAATGAAAACTTGTAATTAATGTGCCATCAGCTGTTTGATCTTTCCTGTCTTTGGCACCTCTGATCTAAAAGCCACTTTGACCACAGGGATCCCTTCCTATATTGGGCAGGACGTTCCTTTTCAGAGGGGTGCCACCAGTGGCACTGACCCTTCCAGGGTCACCGAGGCACGGAGCAGGGCTCAGAAACCACAGTCCGCAGGCCAAATCCAGCCCACTGCCTGTTTTTCTTTCCTTTCTTTCCATAAACTAATAGGGGCTTTTGACACTTTTATGTGGTTGGGAAAAAAAAAACACCAAAATAATATTCCATGATGAAATTAAAATTTCAGTATCCATCAATAAATTTTTACTGAAGCAACCATGCTCATTAATATACGTATTCTCTTTGGCTGCTTTCATACTATTGCTGTGGGGCTGAGTAGTTGTGGCAAAACCCACATGGCCCAGAGGGCCATAAATATTTACAGTCTGGACCTTTGCAGAAAAAGTTTGCTGACCCTTGCCATGGAGAGTATGCTATTTACTTAGAGGTCAGAATAGCTTTTAGTCTGTAACTGGATATAGATAGTCTCAACGATGTAGTACTGTTGATAGGCTTAGCTATTACTCTCTGGTGACCATGATATCGTTTCATTCATATATTTTTCATTAAAAAAATAATCAAGCTCTGCAAACACTTCTTGGACATGTTTATGTGTCTCTAGTAGAATTAAAAGATTTTGCAGAGAAGTGAAAAGAAATTATTTATCTGAAGTGCATCTTCCTTGGGTGTTTATGACTTTAGTTGGATCAAACAATGAACGCCGATGAGTCTATAAAAAAAACTAATCAGTCTCTAAATAAAAAAGCCATACATTTATTGCAAATCTAGAAGTACCAGAATGTCACAAATACAGAACAAATCAGCAATCCTGTTTTAATTTTCTTCCAAACATTTAAAACCTGATTATCGACATACTCAAATTGGCATACATTTTTTTTTCATGCAGTTAACAGAATGGACCTTGAGCAGATTGCTCAGAAATCAGTTATAAATATTAAATTGTATTGAACATTCATAGTAAAAAATGTTGTAAAGTGCTGAAGTCATGTAAGTCTGCAAAACTGCCACAAGCTCAAAGTCCTTCTCAAGCAGTGACAGAGATTTGCTACATCCACCTTGTGTTAGGTGTGTCTGTTTTCGACGGACACTTTGTCATTTTCTCCCCCAACCCCCAAAGTTTTACAGATTGTCCTATTTCTATGGCTGATAAATGCTATACAAAATGTAGCAGGTGGTGATGAACTATGCCACTTTCATTTCAGTGCAGAGAAATATTCAAGCTTGTGTGTACCTGTAACCAAACTAGGCTTGTTATATTTTTTCCCCCTGAGTTGTCATAAATTAACAGTAAAGATGAATAAAAGATGGAGCAGCGAGCGACCATCACCTGTAGAATGAGATTCAGTACATATAAGTAGCCCACACTTGCTCTCTTTACAGAAAAATGATAACATGAGAAATACTATACATGTAGTGTAACTCCAAAAACAAACAAACAAAAAACCCCAACAGCGACTAAGCTACCTGATAACTCTGGCAACTTAGAGCAGTCGAGGTTTATGTAAGATGTAAATCGCAACTTATAACTTAGGATGGTAAAATACATGTCTCTGCTACCCCATGTGAAATACAGAAATGCTTCAACAATTAGCTGTTAAAAAAAAGAAAGTCAGAAATGCTTCAACAATTCAATGAAATATAATTCCGATCAAAGGAGATCCTCAAGTATTCTTAGGTGATAAAACAAAATATTTTTAAAAAGCTAAGGCGATTACTTTTTTCCCCTTCAAATAGCACATGTGGCTTTTAATCAAATTGAAGAATCATTACAACCTGGCCCTCTGATGAGAGTAGCTTTACAAGATAAGAAGTATTCTTTGAGGCATTTAAAGGATTGCAAAAAGGAGGTAAAAATGATGCTTAGGTCTTGGATTTTATTTCTTTTGATTAATCATCCTAGAATAACTTAATAATAAATAGTGGTTTAAATTAAAGACACTACAGTCACATATTTCTGAATAATTAAAAGCAATAGGAAACACATTTTCGAATGTCATTCTCTATATTCTGTGTTGAAATACTTCTGGTAATGACTGGCCATAAAAAGAAGTGGTAATCTTCACATTTATGAAGTTCAAGTTATGTATCTTTTTAAAAAATTTCTGTTTATTAGCCAAATGTTTGGTCTTGGACTGTACTTCATTCCCACGGAATATCTGACACACTGAGAGGCCACAGTTGGTGAATGGAGACCTCAGTGTTTTCCAAGGGGTTTTAAACAATTTGTTCCTATTTCTGAAAATGAGAAATTTTAAAAGTGACTTAAGTTTTTTGTTTGTTTGTTTGTTTGTTTGTTTGTCTGGAGTGGCCAATTTCATTTCAATGATCTGGGCTGGCTGTCATTTTGTAAGATAGTTGTTTATCACACGTGAGAGCTCTTAAAACCACTTCACCAATTCACGTCACTATTTTAAAATCGGAATGTGAACCACAGGGTCCTTCTTTGTATCTCTGTGTTGCTACTGAATACAACCAGATTTAGGTACAGAAGAATGCTGGGTTGTTTTTGTTTTGGCTTAAGAAACAAGCAAAAAAGAAAAACTTAAAAAAGAAAAAAAAAAGGATGTTGGTAGTGCTCACATGTACATTCCCTTTAAAATGTAGATTGAAGTGTGGGTAGAGTGGATAGCCCCTGTACCTCCCTTGCCCCCCGTCCGCCCACCTTCCAGCCAACAGGGTGGCCGTCCTTAATTGAAAGCGTGTCATACTGGCTCCAGTTTCACTTGAACTTTATGCTCATTTTTCCCAAGGTCCATTTCTAGAAAGTCTTCAGGTATGTCTTGTAAAGCTTTTCCACGAGGATTCTCCACCTGTGCTTCCCCTGCAGGATGAGGCTGGCACAGTCCCTTCTTACAAGGTCTCACAAGCGCGAGGCACACGGCAGCCACACACATGCCAGCTGCACAGGAGTAGAAGGCTCGGCTGTAAATCTTACTCTGGTCCACCAGCAGACCTGAGAGAAATTCATATCTGTTAGCAACACGGGCACAAACCCTCGCTACCCCAGGCTCCCCCCAGGCTCAGAGGCTTCTCAGGGGCTTAGCCTTCTCTGTTCTTATCTGGTTCTTCTAAAGAAACAAGAGTGTTGAAGGCATGAATCACTTCTAGGCTGGGGAGGAGAGATAAGCCAGGACAAACATAAGGGCCGAGACAGCTGTGTTGCTAGCATGTTCTTCATGGGCTAATCTGTGCTCGTAGAGAATAAAACTTGAGACAGTTAGATTAAGCCTGCTTCTCTGAACAGGAACTATTTCCAAGAGAAGGAAGAGCTCTATTATTTTCCCTTGGGTTCACTTCAGGGATCTTATCCAATGAGATACAACTTCTATCATAATAACTTTTGAGGACCTAATTCAGGGCTAACGTATGGAGCGCACCCAATCCTTCCTACAAGAAATGTCGTGTGGTAATCAATTAAGTATTTGGGGAGCGCGCTCTGGTTTAGTTCCCTTGTTCCCTTCTTAGAAGGGAAGATGACTTAACAAAAAAGTCCCTCCGTGCTGCTGTTTCCAAAAGTCGGAGGCTAATGCAGTTCTACATGGATGGGGTCCCCTCTGGCACATCCAAGGCAAGGTGGTAGCAGAAGCTCGGGGCGGCCTGAACTGCAGGCGTAGGTTCTAATCCCGACTTGGTCACTAATTTACCGTATGGTGGTCGGCTGACCTTCAATTTCCTCATATATAAAATCAAGAGAGTTGGCTCAGCTAATCCTGCCAGCTCTGAAATTCTATGGGACGATAAAAAGCAGTGTTTTTCTTAAGACCGTAACGAGAAGTGAGCACCACTGATAAGGTGCCTGTAGACAAGGGTTGGGATTTTGTGTGTTCAGATTACCTGCAAGGGGTGGTCCGGCCAGTCCCGCTATACTCTGGATGAAGACATACACTCCTGCAGCAGAAGACATCTTCTCGATTCCCACGACATCGTCCTCGGCCAGCAGTGGTATATGGGTCCCCCCGACGGTCCCAACCATGAAACCAAAAAAGATGCTACATGACATCAGACCCCAGAATTCGGTCGCGAAAGTAAAGGCAAACAGAGACACCATCAACGAGATGACGCAGATGAGCTCGATGTAGATCTTGCGGATGGGCTCTCTGTTGAGGACACAGCCAGCTCCGATCCGCCCAAAAACTTCAGCGATTGCCATTGCGGATAGCAAGAAAGCGGCGCGCTCCTGCTCAATGCCCAGGCTGATGCCCAAGGGAATGATGTACAAGGAAGGTGCAAAGAACCCCAGTGTTGCAAAAAGACCAAATAATGCATAACAAATGAAACTCTTGTCTTTCAAGATTGAGAAGTCCAGTAAGGGGGCTTTCTTATCACTTGGCTTGGAGCTGGTCTTCACCTGGATCTGCTGCATGTCGGCCTTCGGCTCCAGTTCTACGTTGGCTTGGCTAGGCACATTCTTCGGTGAGGTAGTTAGTTCTACTCCTGAGTCAATGGAATCGATTGAGGTGCGTGTTTTCTCATTTTCGAGCATATATTGCACTTCTCTCCGATGTTCGTGCACGGTTGCTTTCGGGGACCCTGGTCCTCGGATGATGATCGGCCTCAGCAGCGCGCCGCAGACGATGATGTTCAGCTGCAGCAGGCCCACGAAGAGGAGACTGTATCTCCAGCCAATGTGGTCTTTCAGAGCCGTGATTGCTTCAGGAGGGCGGGAGCGGAGAGGAAATAAAATCTAAGGTCAGAAACAGACTCAAGGCCCAGGAGAAAATACCCAGCAGAAATCAGGATTCAGATGTAGTAATAACTGTCCTAAGAATTTACCCAGCAGCGTGACCGCAGTCCACCTGTGCTGCATCCTCCGTCCTCGGTTTTGATGCTCTTATGAACCAGTAAAGGAGAAAATGTGCACAGGGATCATCCTACATAAAGCAAACCCTGTCGGCTGAGGTTTGGAGGGTGCATTTTGCCAGGTAGAGGCCTAAGAAATGAACTAAGTTGGTGACCTACTTCCAGGTTTGCCGAACAGCGGCCTGCAGGCCAAATCCAATCCTCTGCCTGGCTTGGGTAATAAAGCTCCCCTGGAATAAAGGGTAATAAAGCTCCTTTGGTGCTGTGACCGCAAGTTTGAGGGGTTCTGACAGCTACCTCTAGTCCATGAGAGCCTAATGTATTTACTGTCTGGCCTTTTAAAAACAGAAATTCCCACGTCTGAGCTCAAGATCATTGTACACTCTCCCATTCGATCCACAGCAGGAAGGGGTTAAGTAAAAAGATAAAGGAAGACTCCAAAAAGCTCATGATTATCCCAGAATGAAATGATGACACAGTTCTGCTCGGCAGACTCTCCTTAGCTGCCGGAGTCCTGCCCTTCCCGCCAGTTAAGCTGGGGCCTCGGCTGCAGACCAGGGCAGGCCGGACACTGGAATGTGAGGCTGGGGGAATGGCCACAGGGAGAGCCCTGCAGGAGAACTGAACGATGCTGGCCCTGCGAGACCTGCAAGTATCTTTGTAATCGTCCCAGAAAGGTTAAGTGATATTCGGTAGAATTTTATTATATTCCAATTCTTTGACAGCACACAGGTATGAAGACGTACCTGGTTAGCCAGGTAAGCTGGTTATCCAGGAGATAGGCTTAGCAAGGCAGCCCCACACTCCTTGGAGGGGAGATCCACTCACTTTAAGCCTGTTTTCCTACCTCCTATCCCTCCCATTAATGTGGAAAACTTCAAATTGCAAAGTATTTTAGGCTTGGGTATTTTTTTTTGGTATTTATGTATTTATGTATTTATTTTTTAAGTAGGCTCCACATCCAAGATGGGGCTTGAACTCACTACCCAGAGATCAAGAGTTGCTGGCTCTAAGACTGAGCCAGCCAAGCACTCCCTAGGCTGGGGTATTTTGAAAAGCCTTATGCTCCTCTGGCAAAAGTGGGTGCAATTTTTCTTTCCCCATTTTACATTTCTTGAGTGCCTACCAGGTCCCGGGGATGTGCCCCGTGTTAGAAAGAAAGCCGACTGAGATATGCTTTCCACCCTCAGGGCATTCACAGACCACTGATTCTCCTCTCCACATTTTATTTTGAAAAAGTTCAAGTGGACACTAAAGTAGAAAGAATGACACCGATGTGCCTGCCCTCCTGCTCTTCGCCTAAATTCTACAGTTAACATTTCCTGTCTCTGTCTGTATGTTTATATGCACACACACATTCATTTTGCTCAACTATGTGAAAAGCTTCAGACATCATGACATGTCCCCCCTAAATACTTCTGCACTATCTCCTTTGAACAAAATGTAATCCACTGGCACATTCTTCCAGAAACCGCAGAGTACCCTTCGAGATCTTATGACCTGCTGATACACAAGGAAGTCTTTGATTTGATAAATTGTTTCATCCCTCTTGCAAGGAGCTTCCCAACGCCCAGCCCCAAAATAACCAACCAGTCGCATTTCACCCTGGAGACCTAGTGCTTGCTGGAGCGCTCTGGGAAGGCCTGCGTACAGTGATGTTAGCCATTCCAACTGTGGCCCAGGGGGCCTGGATCCACCATTCCAGAGTCAAACCCTGGTCCCCACTGGGGCCTAACAACAAGGAACCAAAATCCCTCTGTGAACCCAGGGAGGATCTCAAACTAGTCTTGAAGAGACAAGACATAGATCAGTCTTCTTCCCCGTATTGGATCAATCCTTACTACATTCCTTTCACCTGCCTTCTCACGGTACATGGAATGCACCGAAATATCCTCTATCTCTCGAAGGACCCCTGGCTAGGCTCCATCTTGCACTGCACTTTGTGCATCACCTCCTAAATGCCCTAACCTGCTTTCTATCTCCCAGAATAAAGGTCAGCAAACTCCAAATGGTGGTTCAGATGGGGCCTCACATGGTGGTCAAACCAGACTTCTACTGGGGACCCTTTGCTAGGCCGGGACGAGAGGAACCCTGACTGCTGCCTCATCCTTTGCCCCTGGCCAGCAGGAAGTAGTCACGATTGGTCATCGTCCTGCTTCCCTAACAGCATTTGGGGTTACCTCTTCAGGGCAGGGAATGATGAGGGATGGCTGGACCGCAGGCAAGCAGAGACAAGCTCCACCCCCCCACCACCTCCCTGCCCTAAGAGGAAACCACCTTTAAAGGATTTCGCACCACCCTAGAAGGAGAGCCCTCCACCCTTTCCCACGGGATAGATGGATGACAAAAACCTGATTTGATAACAGGCGCAGGGAGGGTTGATTAGATTAAAACAGTCTGCCAGTGAGCCCATAGAAACCCCCAGACTTAGAAACTCTGGTGGCAACTCTCTTGGGTCCCCTCCTGCCTTGGGAGCTTTGTACTGTCACTTTGCTATCACTCAAACCTTGCTTTGCTGGCCACCAAAAAAAAAAAAAAAAAAAACTAAAAACAGCAGAGTAAGAAATGAATCTGGGTCTCCAAGGTTATCGGCCTACTACTTGTTAGACTACTTATAATTCACCTACTAATGTTGAGGTAGCAAAGAAACCAGGGGTAAACATTTTGCTGTGAGGGCGCCTGGGTAGCTCAGTCGGTTAAGTGTCTGTCTCGATTTTGGCTCAGGTCATGATCTCAGGGTCATGAGATCGAGCCCTGTGTCTGGCTGGGTGTGGCATCTGCTTGAGATACTTCCTCTCCCTCTGCCCCTTCCCCCTGGTGCATGAACACAAGCTCAACTGCTCATGCTTTCTCTCTCTAAAAAAAAAAAAAATTGTTTTGCTGTGAGATTACCCACAGACAGAAAATAAAACTAATAACTTTATTAGCATATTTTAAATCCATGTTGAATATGGCACTTTTAATGAAGGAGAGAAATAATAGTGTGAATAATCTCAAATCATTAAATTATTTATTTTGGAAAGGATGTTTCAAGCCTTCCCACTGAATACGCATCTTGCACCTTCCTATTTATGTCAACTTGGATTAGTATTACAGTGTCTGAAATCCTAAAATGAGATTAGTGAGGACAGATCCTAAAAATGTGCTGAAGGAGAGAAGGCAAATAACCTTTCCGTATGGATGCAGTTAAAGTCACCCATCAGCCCACTGTTGGCAGGAACGGCCGAGTGGCATCCCCCAGCCCACAGTCGCACGTGGACTACTGTAGTCGCCTACCTGGGGCGAAAGCAAACATCGCAAAACATTCTCCCGTGGAAGCAACGGCAGTGACCATGGAGCGCCTTTTGTCAAAGTACTGAGATAAAATGGTGACAGTTGGTAGGAAGCTAAAGCAGTATCCCAAACCTGAAAGGAAGCCGGAAAAAGCAGTAAGAACCACATACTGACTGATACCAGAAGGGTGCATTCAAAGATCTGGGATTTTTGTGTTTATTTTTGTTTTAATATTTAATTCAACGTATGTATTATGTGTGTACTTTTAGGGATTACTTAGTATTTTTATACTAAGTACCATATCAAAAAGACATTTTTTGGTTTCCCAAAAGATTTATGTGCCAACAAGTCAGTGCATGACAATTTGAAAATAATACTGAAAAAGTTAACAACCAGACAATCTAATCTCTTAGAAATCCAAACAATGCGTTTCCTAAATAATTCCTGGGCAAAAGGGGAAATAGAAGCTGCCATTATAAACTATTCGGTAGGGGAGGGGTGTTTATTTTTTAAATCATAAGTTCTGGGAGCCAAGAATTTCATTCTGGAAAAAGGTGCTGTAGTAAAAAATAATAGAATAAAAATAGGTTTCATTAGAGGTCTAGAGAAGCTGTAACCACTGTTTTGGGGATGCTAGGAGTATAACTGCTTTCTGCTTTTTCCCCCTATTTTTCTGCATCAAAATTTATATAATTCACAATAGATAGACTACTGTTGAATATAGTTTTTCTATAAGAGTTTGGAAATAAATGACCTTTGATAAGTGCATCAAAAGTGCACAAATCTTCACTAAATACACGTATCATCTGTAAGTAATGAGTGGACTTCCTTTAAAGGGAAAAAGGTATCTCAGACCCCTGGGATGACACCCAGTGCGCTCGCTGCCCTCTCCCCGACAGCCCAGAAGCCCCGGACTCCCACTGCGGGAATACCTGCTAAAGAAACTCACATCTTACTTTGTGAAAATGATGTCTTTTGGCTACAGGCTCATGCAAAAGAGAAGTTATCTTTCTTGTTGGTCAATATTTTTTTAAAAACCCATCAAAAAATCTCAGGCCCTGAGTCCCTTGGGAGTCCATCCAGCCCAGTTCAGAACCATCCATCTGGGACACTAATAATTTCAAAGGGAAAAAAGAGAAAGGGAGACAGAAGTACTTTTTGGGTTGGACCCCCTCATGCCCCATACCCCTTCCTTGTTCTTCAGATTGAGTATTTGGAGAACTTTTCGAGCCCAGGAGCAACACTTACCGGATATGATGCCAATTGAGATGTACATGTGGTACAGCTCCCGGGAGAAGGAGGCCATCACCATTCCCGTGCTGACAAGCAGGCCCCCAGCCACCACCACCAGACGGTGTCCGAAACGAGTGCTCAGGACAGCAGACAGGGGAGCTGCAGTGACGGACCATAATGTGACATTTTAGTTTTATTTTTTTAAGATTTTATTTTTTAGAAAGAGAGCAAGCAGGAGGAAGGATGAGGGGAGAGGGAGAGAGAATCTCAAGCAGGCTCCACACTGATCATGGAGCCTGATGCAGGGCTCGATCTCACCCCAAGATCAAGACCTGAGCCGAAATCAAGAATCAGATGCTCTATCGACCAAGCCACCCAGGCACCTCCATAATGTGATATTTTAACTCCAAAGACATAAGCGTTAGCTTAAAGTTTCTCTTTTTGGGGCACCTGTGTGGCTCAGTCGGTTAAGCATCTGCCTTTGGCTCAGGTTATGCCCCAGGGTCCTGGGGTAGAGCCCCTGAGCTCCATGTGGGGATCCCTGCTCAGCTGGAAGTCTGCTTCTCCCTCTTCCTCTGCCTGCCCCCCACCCATGCTCTCTCGTCTGTGCTCTCTTTCTCTCAAATAAATAACATCTTAAAAAAAAAGATTCCTTTTTTTAAGTCTTGCACATGGAGAGTTGATGTGCAGTATATAATGCATTTTACACAATGGTTCTATTTGTTCAACTGGATAGTATGTTCTTTGGGCTTCTTACAGAGAAAGCCAGAATAACAGTATGAAACTTATAGCAATATTTTTAGATGAAAGCAATATAAATTCACCATGAGCACCTATAAAGTTAGATATGCATTTAATGTATGTTACTGTCATAAAAATGGGTTTTCTCATGATGGCTTGGACCATTTACTTTTTCTATAGTCACTGCTTTGGATTCTTTATTTTTTTTTTAAAAAAGCTCCATTTAGGCTCTTTTCTTTTAAGATTTTATTTATTTATTCATGAGAGAGAGAGAGAGAGAGAGAGAGAGAGAGAGGCAGAGACACAGGCAGAGGGAGAAGCAGGCTCCATGCAGGGAGCCCGATGCGGGACTCGATCTCAGGACTCCAGGATCACGCCCTGGGCTGAAGGCAGGCGCTAAACTGCTGAGCCACCCAGGGATCCCCTTTAGGCTCTTTTCTAGCTCAGTTACATTTGACTTTTCTGAAAATCTTATGAAAGTACAGTGAATTCTCTGTTGAACACTCCAAAAGGAGGAGAGCCGAAGGATAATTCAGAGTGGCTGATGAATAATCATCCCTTTAGCTTCTATATTCCATATCCTGCAGACCATGTAAATCTGACAAATTAGTTTCCTAGTGATATGTTATTCAGGCTGACCCTGATACTGACTTGAATATACTGAGATGAGGAAACCCTTGAGAACTGAGTAAAAGAGCAACATAGAACATACTCAATAGAGGAGGGAAAAAAAAGGACTAAATTTTGTTGGCTTTGGTGCATATATGACTCTTTCGTTAGTAGACTATAAGCCAATGTTGAATATTGCTCATAATGAAACCACTCTCATCAGTTTTAGGTAGTATGTTGGCTCCAAGCATTAATTATTATAATAATAGCATTTAAGAGAACTGCCTTCTGGTGTTATAATAGTATTAACTGGAAATTTCTTTTTTTTCTCTTTTTTTTTAACTGGAAATTTCTTGTTGACTGTATTGTTGTTTTTGGTTATAAAAGAGCTCAAAGCGAAGCTTTGGCAGTTTCTTTTTATTTAGATTATCAAAGGTAAACTTTTCGTTCTAATTATCTCTCCAAGGGCAGCCCGGGTGGCTCAGCAGTTTAGCGCCGCCTTCAGCCCAGGGTGCGATCCTGGAGACCCAGGATGAGTCCCACGTCGGGCTCCCTGCATGGAGCCTGCTTCTCCCTCTGCCTGTGTCTCTGACTCTCTGTCTCTGCGTGTCTCTCATGAATAAATAAGTAAAATCTTTTAAAAAAGTAATTATCTCTCCAAGAAAGTAAACTTTGCACAATTAAACCATTAAGTATCTTAATACTCAGTTAAACTGGGACTAGGAACTCTTCTGTGAAGCTTGCAGGAGAGAGTGCCGGGAGTAGTAAGAGAAGTTTGGTGCTCGGTAGGAAAGAACAGGGGAGCTGCCTCTGTAAGACAGTATATGGCTGAAAACTATAGTTGAAAGCAAGTTTTAGAGGCAGAAGTTCCATTGGGAGGCTATTAGGGTAAAGTCAGTGAAATGTAAGGTCAAGTTTCCGTGGTGAGTTCAGTAGCTGTGTTTTCTGGAAGCCCTTGGTGTGCCCCCTGGCAGACGGATGGGCCGTTGTGAGAATCAGGCCCATTTGGGACCCAGTGAGAATCAGCATGTTGAAAGTTGTACTCAAATCCCACTTTCTCCGATGCTGCTGGATGTGGGGGTCCTGCACCTGGTTAGCCAATAAAACCCTTGAGGGAAGCAGGAGTCTGGAATTCAGAGTGTCCCTCCTGGTTGAGATGTGTAACCTTACATTATATCCTGTTTCCACATCCCCTTGTTCTACATGGATCTACATTTACAAGTTCCTAGCCTGTTTGCCAAATGCGTTTATGAGACCAGGTCCTAGAACATCAAGTGCTTTTGCGCTTGCTTCTTCAGAAAGTGACTCTACAGGCTGGCCTCAGAGTCATCTATTGTGTCCTAAGAGTGTGCAAACAGTAGGTGTTTAATGCATGTGTGTACACATCAAGGATGGCAGATAAAGCCTTTTCCTTTGGTACCTCTTGTCTCTTGTCAACCCCTGAAAACCATATTACATATTTGACGCTAGAAAGAGTCATATTAAGGAAATGCATCGCAAACATGAAGGGTACCATTGTGTAGTTAAGCCAAGGGAAAGTGGCACATGCTTACATGTTGTTTAAACAGAAAGAGGTACTGACCTGTAAATGTCAAGACAAATACACATATTGATATGACCCACGAAATCCTGCTATTAGATTCATCAAAACTGTCCATTAAGTCATTAAAGAAGACGCCAAATGACTTGATGATGCCGTAGGTAAAGACTTCAACGAAGAAAAAAGACACAGCTACCACCCAGCCCCATCCTCCATCAGGCACTTGAGTATAAACATTGGCTCTGGAACAAAGCTGTGATGTCTTTTGGGTCATTCTTAATCTGAAATAAAAAGTGAAAAAAAAATTCAGACCAGCAATACCCCAAGGGGTGATGGTTTTGCTACTCTTTAGCAAACATAACAAGAACTACTGACCACATCTCTTAGGCTGATCAATATTTAAATAATGTGCAGTTATTATAAAGTCTTTGGCTAGCGATAACCTATTTGTCACAGCTGGGAAGTGTTACTTCCAAATTCTTTGGTTCTGGAGATCTGTGTTGTATATGGAGCCCCCCCCAAAGAATTTGGAAGTAAGACTTCTTAGCTGTGACAATAAATGGGAAAACACAAAAGGAATCAGAATGGCATAGGTGGAAACACGCTGAAGGACACTGAATGGCCACCAGACCCAAGTATTGATGTTGATCTTGAACTTGAAGACAAGCCAGGTAAAGGAAACCTGAGCTGATCATGAGGAGGGTTGATCAGAAATGAAGCCTAGACACTGGGAGGCTAAGAGGCGGACATTGACATTCCATCTAGCACCTTCTGTGGGAGAAGTGTGCCTTCAGACACGCTATGCATCTCTACTTGATGCTACTGGCCATTCAAGATCATTGATCACATTTCCCGCTCAGTCAGCAATATTCTGATTAGGATCTGGTGTCTCATGTGGATGTACCTACGTGAACAGAATGTAGCTGTAAATAATATATATAATATGTATATGTTAAATACATATATACATATAAATGTGAGAACTCTTGTCTTCTGGGAATTTGTTTAGCAGGAGTAAGTTCCTCGCAGTTGACCACCGTTTGCTGTGTTAGCAACTGACAAATACCCTTGAATACATTGACCAAATAAAGCACTTCAGACGTGCAGGGCCCCGGCAGCCAGTTAGCGTAACCAAGTTAGCCCTGACCTCAATATACTTTCCCATTTGAACTTGCAACAAACATCAGAACAAACAGACCTGTGCCTGTAACACCACTAGTAAGGCGAAATGCTGTATTTAACACCAGAGGGAGGATGGGTGAACTTGAATCTTCCCACTAATATCTAAAATAATACATGAGTCCATGGTCTTGGAACACTTGAATTTAAGAATTCTCTCCAACCAGGTGCCTGGGTGGCTCAGTCGGTTAAGTGTCTCCCTTTGGCTCAGGTCATGATCCCCAGGGTCCTGGGATCGAGCCCTGTGGGCATGCTTCTCCCTCTCCATCTGCCTCTCCTCCCACCCCATGCTCTCTCTCTCTCTCAAATAAATAAAATGGGGTAAAAAAAAATTCTCTCCAACCATACAGTTGTATACATGTGAATTTTCAGGATGTGTGGGTGTCTTTTCCTGGCCGTAACTTGTCGTGTTCAAGTACTGAGGCAGGTTTCACTGATAACGCAGGGCAAATAAGAGGACACCACCTCATCTCTCCAGTAGACTTGCCAAGTTTGGGGATTAGGATCTAATATTTTGAGTTTACTCCATAAATCTTAAAAAGCAGCAAATCTGACCCAACTTAGTAGCGTTCATCCTATCGATGGCGCGCCGTTCCCACGGTAGCTGGGTCTCTAAAAGGACAGTGCACTCACTTTCTGTCCTTAACTGTTAAATATTTGATTGAATGAAATAGGGCATAAGATGCTTAAAAAAGCTTATGTTCTCTGCAGCAAAGACCTCTGCATTTTGATGTGCGTCAGTGTGTCTGTCCTGAGAGCACTTGCAAAGGGGGTGGGGGGGGGGAAGGCCAGCAAAATGCCTCGAGATGTAGGCTGAGCATCAACAGAACAGTTTTGCCATCAGTATTCCCCAACATGGAAAGCAGCTGATTTAAGGTGGAAGGCGGGAGCGCTCCCTCCAATGAGGTTTTCACAACACCCTTCCTTCATTAGGCTTTCAAAATTCACTCCCAGGAGGAGGGCTGCTGGGGCAGAGGAGTGAAACAGTGCCTGGCTTGAGATCTAGAAGACATAAAATAAAAAAGTAAAATAAAATAAAAATGAAAGTACTTCCCAGTAATAGGGTCTATCTAGTATTGCGTGTTTATCCCTAGGGAGAGGTATGGGGGGAGGGGAGGGGAAAGTGGTGTGAGCCCAAAGCTTATTAGGTCCTTAGCTTCACCCCTTTCAGTTCATTCCCCTACCAGGCTATTAGTTTGGGCTTTTCCTTGGGGAGCCCTAGACTCCTTTACTAGCCTAACTGGCTCCATGCATCCGGTACGATTAATCTCTTTGAAATGCTGCACTGTTATGACATTTTTCTGCTCAGTCCTTTTCAGTGGCTTTCCTCTTTCTGAAGGATACGTAAAACCCTGGGATTAGCCTGGCTTTCAATGCCTTCGTCGTGGGACCCCACCCTATCCTTGTAGCCTTCTGGCTTCCAGTTCTAAGACTTGACTCAGGCCATGATCCAAATGGACTCCTCCTTGCCCTCCGGTCTCTAACCACCTTGTCTGGGGCCACACCCTCCCCCACCCCTCCAAGGGGTTGGCACCTGTCAGGCCCTCCTCCATCAAATCTTCCTGCTTCCATAATGCTTCCTTTTTTTTTTAAGATTTTATTAATTTATTCATGAGACTGAAAGAGAGAGAGAGAGAGAGAGAGAGAGAGAGAGAGAGGCAGCAACACAGGCAGAGGGAGAAGCAGGCTCCATGCAGGGGGCCTGATGTAGGACTCGATCCCCGATCCCGGGATCACATCCTGAGCCAAAGGCAGACACTCAACTGCTGAGCCACCCAGGCGTCCCTCCATAATGCTTCCTGACCCACTTAACCTACGGGGCTCCCTTCCTGTGACAGGTATCCCTTAGTTATGGGGTATGGTTTACTTGTGTTTATCTTACTTGCTCAATTAAATTATAAGCTCAAGGAAAACAAATCCTAGGGCCTTTCTCTGTACCTTCTTCTCCCTTCCTTCTTCCGGACCCTGCACACAGTCTGTGTTGAGTTTTTCAGCGAAGTATCTATGAGGGGCCAGGCCCTATGCCAGGCCCCCAGGGTTACTACGGTGAGACACAGAGTGGTGGTCTGCTCTATGGACTTAAATCTTTGTGGATGGTAATGACAGGAATCCTAAGCCTGAAACGCAGAGTAAAACCATCTGCCATGACCTTCCAGAGCTCAGCAGGTTTGACAAGCAGTTAGACTAAGTGGCAACCAAGCCCAACGACCTATTGGCACAACTGTTCTAACCCAGAAGGGTGCCCATATGACTTTGGGGCTCAGGCCCAACCTTAATAAGAACACATCGGGATAAAATTGATCAAGGTCCCAAAGAGACAGACTGAAATATCTCCCTAGCCTAAAACCACTATGGGATCAAGAGACAGAACCTTTTCTTTCATAGGACTGCATTTAGGACAGGATTGCAATTTTTGTATGAAGAGGGGATTACCCTATCGTTAGAAGGTTCTGGTGATGGGTCCCTGTCTCATCCTTTCTTTGCCTGTCATGATTTGCGGTTTGGACGTGTGAATCAGGCGGAGTTCCCATCAACCAGTAGCCGGGAGTGGTGTTACAATGATCAGATGTTAACGTGGAAAGGGGATTTGGAGCTCATTTGTCCATCTCATCGAAAAATCTTACATGCTTTTTGAAGGGGGGGGGGTAACTAAACCCAAGAGAAGGCACTCTACCTAAGTGGTCCAGAATCAGATCTCCTGCCTCCCGGGGCCCTGCCCTCTCAGTCTACGGGACAGCATGTTGAAGGCTCTGGTAGAGGTAGTGAGGAATGCCTTTCAGAGACAAAAACTCTCTTGCCCTCTGTGTGTAAAGAGTTCTATAAACTGTTATCACCACCGTACTCTGTGACTTTGAGCAAGTCAACTGCACCCTCTGGGCCTGGGATCCTTGTTAAGTCAAATGAGGTTGGCCCGGAGGATCTTTTAAGGTCTCATTCTAAGTTAGCGGTTCATACTTTCTTATTCAGTAGGCCAAACCTGGGTAGCCCAGGGAACCCGAGCACAAGCAGGAAAGTGCAAATGCTAGATGGTTCTTGCAAATGTGAGTGATAAGTAGTTGGACCCTGCTTAGATCTGATCTCCAGCAGGTGGTTAGATGGCAGATTTGACTGCTCTCTGGGTACTTTCTGAGCGAGCTCCCTCTGGGTGTTTTCCTTTTCTTTCTTTCTTTCTTTCTTTCTTTCTTTCTTTCTTTCTTTCTTTCTTTCTTTCTTTCTTTTTTTTTTTAAATTTTGCTTTACGTCTGTGCTACTCTCCTAAAGCAAGATCCAAGTAGAATGTTCACCTACGTGGTTAGGTTTTTGGATGACAGCAGCTTTCGTATGATCATTACTGGGAACATCATAAAGGGACGATGACACGCCCAAACCCACTCCTCTTCCAAACGTTATGCCTCTATCACCTTAAAGCATCGCACATCCTATTATATTCAGCTTTGAAGACAAGACCACAATATAGAATAATCATAGAATAGCTTGGTTTCTAAAACATTCTGGATGACATCTGTGTTTTGCACGTAGGATCACGTATAGGGCAGGCACCTTAAAGGGCAGTCGGCAGCTCTTTCTAGACCCAGTGCCCAGTGGGGCATTTGGCACATAGTATGTGCTCAATAAAAGCTCCTTATACAAAGTAGAGGTCCCGGGGTGCTGCAGAAGCAGGGCCCTGCCCTATCCTTCTAAAAAGCAAGTAAGGAAGTCTCTGCTTGCAGAATGGAATTCCCTCCCTGGACTCTTCTCCTTTTTCTTATGTCTATTCATTCTGCAGGCCAACTGGCTTTTAAAAAGTCCACCTCCACAAAGCTAGAAACAAAGGCCTGAATTTTGAACTCAGTGACTTTGAAGCCTCTACGGGTTCCAGAATATGAAATACGGTCTGTTTCGTTTTTACGGTGATGTGAACTTAGCTTATGTACGGAAAGGGAAATTGGTTTCCTACGTGGGGGTCTCACTGGTGAATCATGCTGAGTGGCCGAATCACTTTGCTCCTTGATTTTGTGCTGTCAGCAGGTAAAAAGAGTTTTGCTCATGATCTCCGATCTCTGCCTGCCCTAGGAATCTCCAGTTTTAGCACAGCTTTTAGCTTGACCTGCTCAGAGTTAGACTTTTCATCCTTCTTAACTCTTGAGCCCATTGAGACAAAGCCCATGGGTTGGTTGTCTTGCAAACCCCCCTCGGGCTTTCTTTGTTGAATGTCTGTTTACTATTAACTGGCTGCACAATCTTGGGAAAATCACTTAATCCCTAAATTTCATCATCTGTAAGGTAGGGATTAGACACAGAGTACTTGAGGGTCTCTCCCAACTGTAAAATTCTATGACAGCGGTGGGGTGGGGACAGGGGTGGGGTTCCTGGCAGCCAACCCGCCTTCTACCCTCATGGCTTTCCAAAGGAAATACAGTGACAAAATACACTGGGCAGTTTGGAGTATTTCCTGTGAGTATGTGGTTGTCTTACCCTTAAATAAATGAGGATCGTGCCAGAGAGTGGAAATCTGCTATACCTAGGAATTTCTCCGGGAGTCGATTTTTGGAGGAAAAGATGTGATCTGGGGGGTATCAAGAATGCAAGCTATTGGATTATCATAGAGCATCAGAGCGTTAGTCCAGGCTCCGTTCAGAGCAAAGTTCAAAATGCAGACTTTGGATGGAAATGGTGGTGAGTGCTGGGATAAGCCAAGCCTCTCGGCAAACGCACTGCCAGTCTCTGTTCTTGTGAAAGGCATAGCCCGGAGAGAACAGCTTTCGACAAGTTGTTTCCAGCCCCAGTTGTCCAAGCCAGTCTGTATTTAGGTGAAGTTCATTTGAATTCTCTACTACCGAAGTCCCAAACCTAACCTGAAGTCCCCCTTCAGCAGCTCTGAATCACTGGATACAACCGATTCACCCATTTTACAAGATCACGATGTTGAAACCTGAACCCCTAGTTTAAGTGTCCTCCTCAGGAGTTCCACTGAGGAAAGTCCATTTTTGGAAACCACAGAAGGAAAACTCACAGTTAGTGGTACTCATTAAGACAGAAGGAGCTTTTCCACTTGGCTGCATTGTTTATTTACCTACTGGAACTCTCTATCTTGGCCACCCTTCCCTTAATTCGGAGAAGAGGTATTTCTTTATCCCTGGGGCAGGATGTATCGCCCACCCCAAAAATGCCGCGTAATGGTGCTTGGGACATGGGAAGATGCATCCCTTAGAAATTTCAGCATAAGCCCACTTGGTAGTTGTTTTTTTTTTTTTTTTCTTTTTGTAGGCAAGACACTCATCTTCCTATGATTTGCAAAACAGTAAGATAACCGAGAAACCTCCTTCCCCGGGGGGTGGGGTGGTGGTGGTGGTGGTGGTGGTGTAGATACCATCTCCTTCAAGAAGGAGCTGGAGTGTCTCACTGTGCAAACAAAACCAGCTTCCAGGTGGTCAACTTGTAATAATGTTCTTCCCGGGTTGCCTCCGGGGAGCTTTTTTCTAACACTAACGCCCCCCGCGTTGGGTGACATTCTCCGTGCCACCTAAACAAACTTCTGTCACCTGTCTGCTGGGGGAGGGTGGGGGCTTAATAAAAAAAAAAAAAGGAAAGGAAAAAAAAATATATATGCCTTGAAGGAAAGAACCCATTTCCTCTGCAAAATCATCGTCCGCCACTTCGGCCCGGCTGGGCCACCCGGGCGCTTTCCTGCGGTTGGCAGCCCCCGCCGGGAGCCTTGGAAGTTGAGCGGGACCAGCGTCAGGCGCTGACAGCTCCGCGGTCCAGGTGTGCGACCCGCCCTGCCCTGCGGGGTCAGGCGCGCTGCCCCGGGCGCGCGTGCCGGCTGCGGGCGGGGGACGGAGGGGTACGGGGGGGGGCCGAGGGGGGGACCCAGGGATTCCCACTCGCCCTCGGCTGCCTCAGTGGCCGCCCTGCGCGCGCGCCAACCTGGAAGGTACCTCTGACATTTCGCTCTGGTGACGCGCAGGCAACTTCATGCGGAAAATCCACGCAGGGCTCATCCGGGCGCCCCCCCCCCCGCCCCCGGCTCGCTCGCCCGGGGACCCGAAGCCCCCAGCCCGGAGCGAGCGGCCACTGCGGCCGGAGCCCGCCTCCAGCGAGGTCCGGGACCCCCGACCGCCGGGGCCACGGGGCGTCCCACTCTCAGCTGCCCACACTGGCGAGGGCGCGTCCTCCCGGTGGCCCTGGGCATTCCCAACTGTCAGAATATTTTTTCAGCATAACCTCTCCAAAATGTTCGGCTGCGCAGTGGTCTCCTCCCGCCTCTCCCGCCCGCCACCTCCGCTCCCCCCCCCCATAAATAAATAAAATAAAGCTCCCCGTACCGATTTATATAAAAAAAAAAAAACAACCCCACAGCCCACAATCAAACTTTTAAACATGTAAAATAATAAAACCAACTCACCAAGTTAGAAGGGAAGAGAATAAACCCCAAAAGGCTCCCAATAAGGCGGAGGCTTGGCCTCCCCCTCCTTATAAGCCGCTCGGGAACATGAGAAAGGTTTAACCCCTTAGGGCGTGGGCTCGAGCCTACGGCAGACGGGCCCCGGCGGCGGAGCACCGGGCGCCCGGCCCGCAGCGCCCGGCCCGGCCCCGGCCCCGGCCCGCCCCCACCGCGGCCGCGCCTCGGGCACCCCGGCCACACCCTCCCCCCGCCCCCCACCCCGCCGCCTGCGCCCGGGCCCTGCGCGCCGCTGCCCGCGCCCCGGCCCCGCGTCGCTGCCTATCCCTTATCCTATACCGGCTGCAGCCGGTCTCCGCCGGCCTCGGGGGCGCGCCGCCGCCGACCATGTGCTGCGAGCGCCGAGCGCCGCCAAGGAGGGGGCCGGCCTGGCGCGCGCGCGCCGGCCCACGTGGACCGGGGCCGCGCCAGGCGCGCGTCCGCCCGGGGCCCGGGCTCGGGGTCACGGAAGGTAACGGCGTCGCCGCCCGGGCCCTTCCCCGCCCCCGCCCCCCGCGCCGCCGCCGGGGTCCCTGGCACGCGCCCCCCCCCCCCGCGGGCGCGGCCTTCCTTACGCGCGCCCTGCCCGGCGGGACCCCGGCGCCCTGCTGCGCCGCGGGCGGGGAGCGCGGGCGTGCTCGGGGCGGCTGCATCTCTCCCCAGCACCCCCCCCCGGCCGGGCGCGCGCGGGGCCCCGGGGCCGCCTCCCTTCCCGCAGCGCCCCCCGCGCGGGGGCAGGACTGGGCGATGGGGAGGAGGAAGGGGGGGGCGCGCCGGGGCGCAGCTCGGCGCCCGCCCCGGGCAGAACAGGTTCCTGCCAGTTTGGGTGTGAGCTGCGCGCGCGGCGCCGCGAACCCCGAGTTCCTCCTCCTGCGCCCACTTCCCCCCGTTTCGTCAACCGGCGCCTGGTTCCCCGGTGGGGGGTGCGGGGGAGGGAGTGCCGCAGCGAGCCCCGGACAGCCAGCCAGCGGCGCGGCTGCCCCGGGAGCCCTGCTTTCCCCGCGTCTGCGGCGGCGGCGGCGGCGGCGGCACCGGCATCCGCGCCGCGCGGCAGGGATGGGAGCCGCGGGCTGAGTCAGCATCCGCGCTCGGGGCGCGCGCATCCTCCCTCCCCGGCGGCTGGCGACGCGCGCACAGGTGCACGGCCGCCCGGTCCGCGGAGAGCCCCGCGGCCGGAGGGACCCGGACGCCTTCGTGCCCCCCCCATCCCGACATCCGCGACCCCAAGGTCACTGTGAACTCAGCAGACGACGCCCGGGAAGCCGGTTACGATCTTGTCACGGGGACAAAGCAGTGTGTCGTGTCCCGGGCATCCCCGAGCCCGCGGGGGCGCAGACCGGGCTTCCTGGTCTCCACCTCACCTTCCCGGGGCCAAGTGGACACCTGCTCGGAAGCAAGGGCCTTGTTCTCCGCGTGTCCCCGCCGACTGGGGTGCGGGCTGCTGCCTCCATTGGGGTTGCAGAAAGTGGTTCTGATGTCAGAAACTCCAGGGAGCCTACTTTGGGAGCGCGCGCGCGGGGTCGCCACCGGGAGGAGTCGGGGATTTGAGTTTTGATAAAAATCCCTTTGCAGTCGCTGCCTGATTTCTCTCCCTTAAACGTTGCTCTGTGCTCTTACAAGCTGTGGCGTGGGCTAGGTGGGGAGCAGGTGTCTCCGTGGGAAGTCCCCTGTTGGCGGCCAGTACCGTACAGCCAGGGGGCAGCTGATGAGCTTTGCAACCTTGCGGGAACACCTTCACTTCTTGGGAGCGTCACTGTCCAAATCCATAAAATGGGGTCAGTGGTGGTATCCTCAGAATCGAAGGCTTTATGATGCCTGTAAAGTGCAGATCAAAGTGACTGGCATGCGGGGAGTCCCAGGTGCCCATTAGCCCTTATTGTTGCTATTATTTATGGCTTACCATACCCATTGCTGACTCCAACACCCCTCCACCCCCGCAAAAGATCCTTTTTTTTTTCCGAGTTGTTCTTGAAAGAATCCAGACGTGATGATGTTTAAAAAATGACTCGAATCGCTGAAATGGCAGCATTGCTAAAACCGGACTGACTCAAAGTGTAATCTTGGACATTTAGGATCTTGCCGTGCGTTAGGACCTGCCACGGCTCTTAGTATGGAATTGTCATATTTATGGCACAGTATCTACTGTATTGGGTATTGGGAACCTATGGGTGTAGCCCATTACTTATAACTAAGCGATTCAAATCAAGTCTGGGAAGTTCCTGGTGCTTCAGATTCTTGATTTAAAACATTAGGCAAATCATGCCCAAAGCTCTAGGTGTGAATGAATAATTGAGAAAGTCACATCTGAGTATATGACCAGAGTGAAAGCACAGTCCTCTGGGGAGGCATTACTGCAATGATCATCATACGAATACTAAATTGCTATTATTTTAATATTAGTCCTTTTATTGATTTTTTGCATGTTTTCTTTTTTCCCAACACTGTATTAAATACCGTACATACATGTGGTCTTTTATTTTTTTAAGATTTTATTTATTTATTTATTTATTTATTTATTTATTTATTTATTTATTTATTTCTGAGAGACACACAAAGAGAGGCAGAGGGAGAAGCAGGCTCCCTTTGGGCTCTGGGATCACGACCTGAGCCAAAGGCAGATGCTCAGCCACCGAGCCACCCAGGTGTCCCCATGTGATCTAACTTTAACCTCATTCTGCAGGGGTAACATTCTGCCGTTGACACTATCCCCATTTTACAGATGAGAGTTGTCGAGGCACAGAGCACCGGAGGGATTCACCCAAGGTTTCACAACATTTATAGACACACCCTGGTCCTTTTTGCTGCAGAGCCTCATCCAAAGATGACATCTGTCACCTGCATTTGGGGAACAGAGAGGAGGTTGGAAACCCAGTCTCTCTCAGGTCTTGCCAGCCACAAGCCAGTGACTTTTGCTCGCCCTGGTTAGAGGCTGGCTCCACCTTGGTCCCTTTCCTAGTGAGACCAAGCGTGAAAACCCCTGCTTTTTTCACTCCTCCCAAGAAAGCAAAGAGGGAAAGCACTGCATTACCATGCTAATCAAAACCCCCCCAAACAAAACTAACTCTGTTTAGTTCTAAATGCGAACAAAAGAACCCTTGGAGTCTGGACGACAGAACCAGAAAAATCAGGATTTGAAGTTTAGGGTTCAGCTCCCCTTTTACCATCTTCTCTTGTGTCTGCCATAAGCCCAGTGGCAGCAGAGCCCCTCCGGTGCTTCATTTACAGTGGGCAAGGCTGTGATGATGCCCTTAAAAAGTCCCTCAACATCTTCTGGGGAAATAAATTGGCTCCTGAGGCTATCCCCTCTGCTCTCTCTCTCTAGCCATCTTGCTTTGGGTCATTTGCATGAGAACAGATTCCTTTGTGCAAAGTTGGCCAGCCTGTTCTCTGTCTACGTTTATAGCCCTTCTAGTCTTCATGTTGGGTTGCTAGGCAGATATGACCCTGGCTTGCAAATAAGCTCACTGCATTTACCAGCCCGTGAGAACTTAAACTTGGGTAAGTAGACTGAAAGGAATCCTGTGTGGAGCTCAGAGAGGAGCAGCCTGCTTTTAAGGGGCTGGGTCTTCGGAGCAGCCATGAAGATGGGCAGCATTTGAGGGGATTCCTATGAGGAGGTGTTGGTCACCCCCCCATCCACCCCCCCTTCCTGTTTCTGCACCACCACCCGCTATCTCACCTGAGGGCCTGTGCCAGGTGGTGGGGTGGGAGTGAGGGTGGGGAATGGGAACCATGTGTATTTGAAGCAAATTATTGCTTGAAAACGTTAATATCTGCTTCTCCAGATAGCAGAGAAACCCACAAACTTCCGTGTAGGAATTCCAGGTAGATGTGTTGGGCTTATCTTGTGGGTTGGGGAGCCTCCTCTAACCCCCACATTTAACAGTTTGAGGGAAGGCAGGACGCTTCAAATGGGAACGCGTGCTCGCAGGGTATGTGTGTGTGTGTGTGTGTGTGTGTGTGTGTGTGTGTGTGTGCAGATTTGCCAAGGGACCTGAGGCACAGATAGTTTTAGGGCAGTCGGGTTTCAGAACATGAGCTCTCTGCGAAAGCCAATTTGTCTGAGAACCCACTGTGGGGCAGGCCTAGCGCTGGGTTAGTCTTGCATGGTTGGCTTCTCCAGCATAACCAGAGCCAGGATCTCACCACGGTGCGCTGTTCCAGCTGAAAACATCCCTGGGGGGAGTATTGAAATACTGTGTCAGGGAGGCCTCTTTGTTCAAGTCAGTATGTCCCATCCCCCAGTCTATCTTGTAAAGATGCTTTGGCAGTAGTAATAGCTTGTCCAGATATACCACATATGTTGTTCGATGATAAATGATCACTTATAGTAATAATTGTGATAATCACTCAACCCAGAAGGGATTTTTTTAACCTTGAGATGTAAATAACAAAATTTCAATTAGTACACAAAATCTGTGTTCAGAGACCTAGGATCATTAAGTAATTTTTTTCATTAAATAATTTTGAACATGCAAGTGTATCGTATTGAGATAGAATGGAAATACAGTTTTGAAAAAGAGAAAAATGAAACGATAGGAAATTTCTGACTTAATGAGAAGTGTTCTCATGTAATTTTTAAACGAGTGATGATGGTTTTCCTATTACTCTGATGTTTATCTGACGCTGGATACATTTATTTGAAAGAGTGGTTTAAAATAGTTTTACTGAAAAAAAAATGAAATAGTTTTACTGTAAAAGTAAAAACCATTTACTGTAAAAGTAAAAAACAAACATTTACAGATACAATTGAAACAATATATTTTGCAGCTAACATGAAACATTGAACATAACTTAAAACTGCATGAGGGTGGGGGCGCCTGGGTGGCTCAGTTGGCTAAGCATCTACTTTTGGCTCAAGTCATAATCCTGGGGTCCTGGGATTGAGCCCCACATTGGGCTCCCTGCTCAGCGGAGAGTCTGCTTCTCCTTCTTTCTTTGCCCCCCCAGCTGCTCATGCTCTCTCTGTCTCTCTCTTTCTCTCTCTCTCTCTAAAATAAATAAATAAAATTTAAAAAAGAAAACACCGCATGAAGGTGGTATGGACTGAATGTGGGCCCCCAGCAGCCCCCAAATTCAGATATTGAAACCCAAACTCCAACGTGATAGTATTTGGAGATGAGTCTCTGGGAAGTGATTAGGTTAGATGAGGCCATGAGGGTGGGGCCCCAAGGATGGAATTAGTGACCTTAAAAGAACACAGCCTTGGGGGACACAGTGAGAAGGCAGATGTCTGCAAGCCAGAAACAGAGCCCTCACCCAACAGTGCTGGGCTTCCAATCCCAGGTTTCCAGCCACTAGAACTGTTGGAAAATGGATTTCTATTGTATAAGTCACCCAGTCTCTGGCGTTTTGTTACAGCGGCCTGTGCTGACTGACCCCGAGAGGGCTTATTGTTTTTTCCAAAGTCTTTTAGAGGATACCCAAGCAAAAAAATCTGCAGGCCACTGTAGGACAAGAAAGCTGTGGTCT